CGTTGTCTGATTGGTTAAATCCGTTCTGTCGTCTTGCGTTTGATTGGACGGTCATAGGTCGCTCAAAGGTTACCTGACGCGACCTTCCACAAGGTTTCGTTAGACTCAGTATAGCAGTGTAACGAATAATACTGAGCCTAAGTTTACTTAGACTGCCCCTTCACCAGCGGCAGTTTCCTTCGTGATCCCTTATTCCCATTGGGTACACATTGACTGCTGGTGGTATGAGACACATTTACCCAAGTCTCGTCAAGATACACCGGCTCATACCCCGCATCACAATAGTCCTGAGAAAATGATTTCTCAAACATACGATATCTGGTCATTCGGACGATACTCTCTTGTTCTCTCCTGCTCTTTTTTTTAACCTATACCCAAAAGAAAGTAAGAGTCGCCATAGTGTGTATTTCATTACTGACAAATTGTTTTGGTTTTCAAGGTGTTTCTGTAATACGTTTAATGACATGTATTTGTTTTCTGAGTACAGTTTTGTTATACCTGTCTGACCTGGTTTCTGGAAGTTGTCTTAGTTATTCACCTTTGATGCTTTTGACATGCCCCCTACATGCGTTGTGTCGACAAAACTGTCTCTCTTCTGTATTATATGTTTCAATGCCCGTCTAGAAACTCCCAATGCCTTGGAAGCACTTTTCTTATACCTATCGATGGCATAAAACGGCCTCCCCCTTTCCGCCTCAGTGCAAAACAAATCATACACTTTAATAATGAACTTTTTTGCCTGTACAGTGAACTTAATTTCGTCATCAGCACACAGCAGTTATCATGAAATGCTCATGCATCAGATGCACCTGTCTCTTCCCATTGCTGCCGTGTGCCCTTCCGTGCCAACTGTCAACAATTATGTTTATAATGATGATAGTTTGTTAAACAACTTTTTCTGTGATGCATGACAATTTCTAATAGCTGAAAAGGCCTTTGGGTATAGGTTATTCATGAACATCCTGCCTCATAATATTCATTAACTACCTTTCTAAATTGTACCTATATTTGTAAACAAATGTATGTATGTTGTATATGGGCCTGTGGCCTACATACGGAATAAAGTACTTGACTTGACTATATATATTTAGCAATTAATGGGGACACTCTCTAGTACAGACTGTACATAGGTGAAACAGGCAGGCCTGTATGTACTCGCATGAAAGAGCACAAAACACTGGTGAAGAACTCTGACAGGAAATCAGAATTGTCAAAACACGTGATCAGAAATCCCAGCCAAACCATCAACTGTGATGACACTGATATTTTGAGGGCGTCAACATCAGCAATTGGCGGAAAAGAAAAATGATGGAAGCCATCTGGATCGGCCGCGCCAAATCTGAAATTTACAGGGATCAGGGTATTTTACTGCCGAATGCTTGGTGCATGGAAAAAAAGACTTTTTAAAAGCTACCAATTCGCTGTACATTTGTTCCCATGTTGCTTCTAATCATTGTACATACTTTGATGTGTGTCTTCCTATCCCTGTTTTCATAAGTGGCTTCCAATCAATGTATATCCTTTTCGTTGTATAAACTCTCTGCACATACCAATTTATAATATAAACATACCACCTAATCTCTTTGAACTCTGTACATCTCAATCAAAACATATCACTTAATCTCCTTGATCTCTGTAAATCTCATTCTTTATTTTCATCTCACTGGCCTCCTGTATGCACTATATATGTTATGCTTGTAAATCATATTCTGTAATTCACCTGATGAAGGGGCAAGAAGTAGCCCAGAAACATTGTCTTGTAAATAATAAAGAAGTTGTAAATCCATACCATCCGTTATTATGTTACCATCCAACTTCTAAATGCCCATCAAGCATCCAAACTGAATATAATCTACAAACAGTTTCAGTGCTGTTTATTGTCTTGAAGAAATAATTTCAAAGGGCAATATTAGTCAGGAAGAACCTTAAAACCTACTTGTATTTAAAAAAATAGGAGATATTCACTGTGTAAGTAACAATCATCATAGCGATTGCGTTCAAATTATTTTCTTTTCAAATGAATATTGTGTATTTTAAAGTGATAGCTTGTTCAGTTAATACTTCCCTTTAACCTTTTAAACAATTGAACATTAAATGTTATTCATTAACCAATATCATGCCAAAGACCCTGGTTCGATTCCCCACATGGGCACAATGTGTGAAGCCCATTTCTGGTGTCCCCCCGCTGTTATATGTTAAAAGCGACGTAAAACTAAACCCACTCACTCTCACTCATTAACCAATAGAGACGAATTAGTGTCTGGAATTTAGCTCACAACCAGCACTCTTCTGGTCTGGTCCAAAATAATCTTCATCCTGGCATAGACAAAATTATGTTACAGAGACACAAACAAAGAATGACACACACTCACACGTACATGCGAGTGCAGGCACACACTCACACACCCAAAAAATGTTTGTCTTATTTAGTTTTCCAATAAACCTGACACTATATTTCACATTACCATTTTTTTTAAAGTCATTCCTGAAGCAAATTCATGTACATCATCATTTTTATTTATGTATATTTATTTCATTGTTTTCTAACCCATGAAGATCGAGGTTAAAGTGGTTTTCAGCAACCCATGCTTGTTGTAAGAGGCAACTAATGAGTGAGTGAGTTTAGTTTTGCGCCGCACTCAGCAATATTCCAGCTATATGGCGACGGTCTGTAAATAATTGAGTCTGGACCAGACAATCCAATGATCAACAGCATGAGCATCGATCTGCACAATTGGGAACCGATGACATGTGTGAACCAAGGCAGCGAACGTGACCACCCGATCCCGTTAGTCGCCTCTTACGACAAACATGGGTTATTGAAAGCTCATCCTAACCCAGACCTTCACGGGTCGGCAACAAATGAGATTGGGTGGTCAGGCTCACTGACTTGGTTGACAAATGTCATCATATCCCAATTGCGTGGATAGAGATACCCATGCTGGTTACCAGAGGATTGTCTGGTCAATCCTTGATTATTTAGAGACCACCGCCATAGAGATGTTCTTTTGGATCTCTCCAGTGCTTTTGATACTGTTGATCACCAAATTCTTCTGCAGCGTCTGAAGGTCAGAGTCTGTATCGATGGAATTGTCCTTGACTGGGTACGTTCTTACCTATCTGATAGGTCACAGTCCGTCAAAGTGGAATCTGTACTCTCCACTGCATCACCACTCCACTATGGCGTTCCCCAAGGATCTGTCCTTGGACCTTTACTGTTTAGTCTGTACATTCTTCCCATTGGTGACATTGTCCGAAAGCACTCACTGAAATTTCACCTTTATGCTGATGACAATCAGTTATATCTGTCAGCGGAGCCTAACCTTGCTCAAGGTTGTGCACTGAAGATACAACAATGTATTGCTGAAATAAGAGACTGGATGACCTTGAACTTTCTGAAATTGAATGACACAAAGACTGAGTTCTTAACCATCGGATCCAGGCATCAACTTTCAAAAGTGCCTGACAGTTTATCTCTTGAAATTGGACAAGATGTTATCACGCAGTCCGACTCTGCAAAAAATCTTGGTGTCATCTTTCAATCAACAATGTCATTAGAAAATCAAATCAAATCACTCAGCAAAGGATGCTTCTACCATATCTTCAATATCAGCAAGATCCGAACCCTCTTAGACTTCAACACCGCCCAGCTTCTAACGACCAGCCTTGTTCTCTCTAAACTTGATTACTGCAACTCCCTCTATTACAACATTCCTCAACAGCTCCTTTCACAACTCCAACGGATTCAGAATTCAGCCGCCCGTGTTGTTGCCTGTGCACCACGCTACCAAACTGTGACACCTATCCTTCACTGGCTTCCTGTATCAAGCAGAATTCAATACAAACTTCTTCTTCTTACACACAGCTGCATCTATGAAAACATGTTTTCTCAATATCTTAAAAGCCTCATTCATCTCCATGTTCCAAGCCGATTGCTCCGCTCGTCAAACTCCCTACTGCTTACACAGCCTCACGTCAAAACGGCCATGGGATCAAGAGCGTTCTCTGATGCAGCCCCCTATCTCTGGAACATTCTACCACTCACCCTAAAAGAAAGAGAATCTGCTGATGCTTTCAAAACTGCCCTAAAAACTCATCTGTTCAAACTCTCTTTTCCATAGACATTGTCTACAATCTTTTCTCTTCATAGCGCCATTGAGCAATATCTTTTGGAAATAGGCGCTCTATAAATCAATTATTATTATTATTAATCATGACCTGTACCTTGGTATAGTATTTATGAAAATACTAAGAAAAAGTTCATACCACCTTGTTCTTGTTTTTTCTTTCTGTTGTATGTGTAATTGCCTAGTGGGGCAGTGGGGTAGCCTAGTGGTTAAAGCGTTGGCTCGTCACGCTGAAGACCCGGGTTCGAATCCCCACATGGGTACAATGTGTGAAGCCCATTTCTGGTGTTCCCCACCGTGATGTTGCTAGAATACCAAACTCAAGTCAGTCAGTATTTGCCTAGCAGAAGCCGTCACTGTCATTGTATGGGTTAGTGTAGCACCAGGAGTCAGTTTATCAGGTTAACTCTTTACAATAAGCATGCATCACTAAAAACAATTGTAGCCAACATCTTCAGTTCCTGCTTGTGGTATCAAGCCTGGAGATTGATGTAAGAAACCACATATAACCCAAGTGAAACTGCTTCATTGAATTTGTTTTGTTTTATGTGATGTTTCAATCTGCATGTGTAAAAGAATTAATGCAAATTAAAAATTAAAACAGCTGAGGTTAACTTGATCGATGTAAGGTGACTTTCATTGACACATAAACAACTAGGTTGTTGTTTTTTGTGTGGTATAAGGGATCTATTCTATTTCTCATGATTACATGAGCGTATGAGATCTCAAGTTCTGACATTGAGGTATGATAACTGTATTTCACACTTCAGTAAATGCCAGCTTACAATTTTGCAAACATTTGGTGGATGGTGAATTATATACATGAGTTTGATATCTTATTCCTAATTGTTATTCTGTGTTCTTTTTATCCAGCTTGATGCAGTACAGAGTGCCCTAAAGGAGAAAAATAATGGCTCACAAGACCATGAACTGTACGAAAAAAGAATTAATTCATTGTCAGAAGAATTGACTATCGTAAGGAATCAGCTGAAGGAATCCGACAACAAATCTAACACTCCATCACCACTGTTGTTGGAACTGCAGAAAGAAATGGAGGAACTCAAGGTGATTTTAACATTTTTATTTTTAGTTAAAATAGACTTTGTCATGTGTCACAATATTGGCCAGATTTATCTATCAACAACAATTCTTTTTCGAGGCATTTTTTTTCAAGATTTCTTCTTCATACATATAGACAATGGATGTAAGCAGCCTGTACTGAAAACATTTGAGTCTAATATAGTAACCAGTAGTTGTCCACCTCAATATTTTCAGTAGATCTTACCCTTAAACATGTGGCTGTCTGAAACAGTAGCTCACACTTCTTGGTGGAGTAAAATGAAAGGGTTTCAGGCCAATCATCTTATGAATCAAATTCCAAGAACGAGAAAGAAAATGTTTGTTTTATTTTTCTTATATGTTGGTATTGATTACGGGACATATTCTACAGATAGTCCCCATGACCTGGGGGCTTTGTGGAATGTCCCATGACCCAGGGATATTCTACAGAAGGTCACTCTGACCTTGGGATATTCTATTTACTATCTCCCAATACCATTTGCAGAAATTAAAGTTACGGAATATTTATACTTTCGATGATTTCCAAATAGAAATGGCATCATAACAACCGCAATACCTTCAGTTTCATATGTTATAATACATATGACATTTAAAGATGTTTCAAGCCTTCCCTGGACCTTGGGTCCAAAATTGACACTTGACACAGCTCATGAAATTGCAACTCAAGGGTACCTCCACAAATATTAAAATTCAATTTCATTAACAAGACCTGAAGGGGCTTCAGAAAAGTAGATTTTGTTGGGAGATATGTGGGAGGCATGATGGTCTTAAGTAGCTCAGTGGACTGTTATTTGTAGTTTACATACATACATGTATATAGATTTGTTTTCTTCATGTAGACAAGCTACCAGCAGCAAGTTTCTGAAGAAACAAGGAGAGCAAATGAGGCAGAATATCAACACAATATATGTGCACAACAGTCTGAAGAGAGAATATGCAGTCTGGAAAGCAAACTGTCTGAAATATCTGATATTGTGGGCAACTATGACAAGAAGAGGGTGAAAGACCAGGAGGTGATCACCAGGCTGAAGGAGAGGGTTAGTCAGCTTGATCACGAGAACACAGTCCTGGCAACAGCTGCCGTCTCTTCCCTTCCAGTAGAAGATAGTCACTTGGATCCTGAAGCAATAGTGGAGAGAATAGTTCATCTATCACATCTGCTTAATGCTGCCAATACAACTCTGGAAAGTCCTATTAACATTCAAGGTGTGTATATTTTGCCTCAGTTGGTGTTGGCATGTCATTGTCTTGTCTGCCATCTGCAACACGACAGATACACAGTTGAAACTTTAAACTGTTTGTTTGAATTTGCTTTCTAGTTAGTACAGAGGACTCATTTTCCTTCTTTATACACAATAATATAAATAATCTGTTGACTGCAGAGGGATGGCCAGGGACCCAGTTGGAAACTGATCACTGCCATCCAAGAAAGAGTGAGACTGTGCGACATTTGTTAAGTTACATGTTAGATTTTCATGGATTGAGTTTATCTCATATTCAACCCTTACTTATTCATAAACTTTGAGGTTGTTAAGTTTGTTAGAGAGCATTTATTTCATATAGGTAACTATGCATATACATGAGCGTTTTATTGAATTAAAGAACAAAAACTTCTTACAAATTTACACTGTTTCAAAAGAAAGTGGTGTCCTGTGTGAAATTCTCAATTCTTCCATTTTCAGATGTACATTACTCCATTAAATATGAAAAAACCCTTATTTTTCCTTATCCTGACTCATGCTCTTTTGCTTGTCCCCTTCCTCTTGCGAACATAGTGGAACACTTGTATCTCCTTAATTGAAGCTCCCTTCAATGTAAAATCACTAATTGGTACTCACCCAAGAGTTGCCTCCCCTGCCTCAAGCGCGGGAACAGGTGTCGCCACCTTCTGGCCTCATGCTTCACTCTCTCCTTCTTCGCCCAGTGAGCAGGATGTGAGAGCACCTGTGTCTCCTTACACACTATATCCTTTGGTTTTCTTAGTTAGTTACCTCTTATAGTTTACGATAAAGGTATAGCTAGTATCCTTCATTAATTTGCATTGATAATTAATCGTATTTCTACTGTTTATTCACGTGAATTCGTGATTGTTCAGCTAGTATTACGTTGATGAAAAACTGTACTATTTGTAGATTACGTTTTTCCGCTGCGGATCCGCATGTAGTATGCCCTAGTTGTACTACGCTTGTGCGTTTGATTCACGCTGCAGTTACTGCATTAATTTAACCAATTCTGCCTTTAATAAATACCATCTTTGCGTCTTGAGACGTGTTGCAGATAGGTCACGCAAACTAGGTGTAGACATGGCCGATACATCGGATTTCCCATCCAGTCAGCTGCTGTCGAAGCGATCCTCCCGTCTGGTGTTCTGCTTGAGACCCCATCGGAAGAGGCGTGGGATGCAGTCCGTCACCTCTAAGAAGCGACCGCCTCCCCAGACATCCCGTCATCGCAGATAAAGTCCAAGAGGGCCTCAACGCTCTTCTCAACGCAGACTTCAGACTCCCCAGGGCAGCGTCATCCTCCAAAGGGAAATCTCGAAGTCATCGAGAACTTTCTCAGCAGAGATCGTTCCAGCAGCAGAATTGGGCCTCTACGATGATCAACCAATCATCATACCCGACATACGCCACAAGAAGCTTACCAGTGACAGCGACAGTGACTTCAGCAGAGATCACCATGCAGCCTGATGCCTCTACACTGATGTCAGACGAGATCGCTGGAGGGCCCCACCGCTATCAGCGCAGAGAGGGCACCATCTACTACGCCGCAGATCATCCCAGACGATCTAATGAAGCAGATCATGATCATGATGGAAGGCCACTACAGACTGGAGAAGCAGCCATCCCAGGGTCCGGAAGCCTTCGAAGGCTTCAACGTGAGACAGCACCCCAGAGGCACCCCCAGTCAACGTAGCAGCCACGACGATGCCCCTTCGCGAAGGAAGTCACAGACCACCTCCACGAAGGACCCAGATGTACAGCCTTCGCGAAGGCGGGAAAGATCATCACCCTCTTCGGCGCCATACTCAGATACACGGAATCTGATCATCAGACCTCACGGAAGCCTTCGCTGGTTGTCATATCACCGCTCCCCAGGACCGACGCAGAGGAAGCTTCGCTGGCGTTCGCGAAGGACACCCTGAACCCAGATCATCATCATCAAAAGGACATTGAGGGACTACACAAGAGCTTCAAGCTACCAACGGTCCCTCTCATAGGTCGCCAAGAAGATCAACCTATCGATGTAGATCACCAAGACGATCGCCTCGCCGATCACCACGCCCGATCTCCACATATATCACCACGTCGATCACCTCACAGGTCTGCACATAAGCCTACAACTAGATCTCCACAAGCGTCAAACGATATAGAGATAGAGCCACACAGTCCTACATCAGAAGAGCAACAACCTCTCATTTATGATGATGGAATGGAAGATGATGGAGGAATTATTTTCTCAGATGCAGAGATAAGATATTGGATGGTCAATAATCTAGATCTCTCATCACCTTCCAAGAGTGGCAATTCGACGCAGACTTATCTGATGAAAGAAGATGATGCAGATGCTATTACACTACCCCCAATCGACCCGATTGCGGCGGTACCACAGAACCTAGATACAGCATTCAACAAAGCCACGAAGGTTCAAACACCACATCTGCCAAACTTTCACGCCAAGAAGTTCTCCACGCATAATATGGACCCCTTCTTCAAGGCGCAAGACATCGATGAGAACTACAAGCTGATCTCCGATGCCAAGAACAAGTACTACAAGATTGATGATCGAAAATTGGTTCAGATAGAAACCATGACGAGTATGTTCTTTGGTCTAAATAGATCTAGAACAATAAATGAGACACTTATCACCAGATTTCGTGAATACCTACCTCTGAAGATGATAGAATGATTTACTCGGTCCTACTGATGCAAAAGAAGGACCAGCAGTTGTTAACAGATCATCTCACGTCTGTCTCAGCAGCACTGACCTTAGCTCGTCGTCAAGGCCTCCTCGCTTCCTGCAACTGGGGTGAGAACTTTACAGCTCCACTATATACAGCCCGTGGTCTTCCCCATCCATCTTTGACGGAGGAATAGACAAAGTCTCCAAGGAAGTCACCAAGGATTCCAGAGAAGTCCTGATGATTAAATCGATGGACACGTTAGCCAGTGTCATTCGACAGACTTCACAAAGATACTCAGGAGATCTAAATTCACGGGCCTACAAAGAGCAAGAGACAGGAAGATAGCCAGTTCCAGGGGAAGAGATTCTTTTAACGCCCATATGGCAACTATAGAGGAGGGTCAGGAAGAGGCAGGACACCCAGAGGTTCCCGCAACTATAAACGCTGAAAGACAGGTTCGAACGACTGGAGTCTTCCACCCCAGCCGTTCCAGTACAACCGTCACAAGTGGGTGGACGCCTCCAACTACACTGGGAAAACTGGGGAATACTTCAAGACACCTATGTCTCCAACATTCTTCAACGCTGATTTCAGATCCCACTACAGGCCAAGCCTCCACTAACAGTCAACCCTCCCAAGTTCGAGGTACAGGCACAGCAACTACTAAAGTTAAGAGAGGCTGTTACATTACTCCTAACCAAGCAGGCCATAGAAGTAATAGATCAAGGAAACATCGAACCAGGTTTCTACTCCCCAGTTTTCCTAGTACCCAAGAAAAAGTCCAAGGAGAAATACAGACTCATTTACAACATGAGCTTCTTCAACAAGACTTATCTACGCAGACCACCGGAGTTCCACATGATACATCTACCGCAGTTATGGCACATGATTCTTCCCATGGACTACATGGGCAGTATAGATCTACAAGATGCCTATCTGCACATCCCTATACATCCCGAATTCAGGAAATACGTACGGTTTACTCTAGACGGGTTACATTACCAGTGGAAAGTACTCCCATTCGGAATAACATCAGCCCCATGGTTATTCACGAGGATAACGAAACCGATTGTCACCTATCTACATCGTCAAGGGCTACGCAGTGTGTTCTTCCTCGACGACGGGATACAAGTAGATCAAGATCCACAGCATCTCAAACTACAGTTAAACTACATCATAAAGCTACTAACACAGCTGGGATGGTTAGTAAACTTACACAAGTCGGACCTAGTACCATCGCGAAGATCTGCAATTCCTAGGCATTCGATTTATCACCAATCTCAACCGTATAGTCGCATTTCAGAAGACCGCTGGCTCAAGATCCAACAGATCATTCCTCCAGCCCTACTCTCTCCGCTACCACTTCGACAATGGCAGAGTTTACTAGGTCTTCTAACATCAGCCCAAGACTTGACAGTCATAGGCAGATTACAGTTACGTCCCTTACAGGTCTTCATCAACACACATCTCGACGACCTACAACCATTCAGTCTACCGGAACATCTCAGACCTCATCTACTATGGTGGACCAAGAAATCGAATGTCTGCGAAGGGATCTGTTTAGCAGAGCAGGAATTCAAAACCCATCTATATGTAGACGCGTCGCTCCAAGGTTGGGGAGCTCATCTCACCAACCAGACGGCATCAGGGTTATGGAATCAGCTAGAAAGCAAGCTCCACATAAACTCATTAGAGATGAAAGCTGTAATCAACGCCACAAGACATTGGAGCAACATTCTACAGAATGCGCACCTGATGATACATACCGACAACTCGACAGTGGCGTTCTATGTGAACAGGCAAGGCTCAACGAGATCGCCGAACCTTTTGACTTTAACCTTTCAACTGTTCGAATTAATCCAAGATCTAAATCTACATGTCAAAGCATGCCACATTCCCCGAGCCAGGAATATACTAGCAGACGACTCTCTCGCCACATCTACCGTCGCCCGACAGAATGGATGCTCAATACAGAGATATATTTGCACAGATAATCAAGCAAATAGGAGCCGCTAGTAGATCTATTCGCCACAAGATTCAACAATCAACTACCGACATTCGTGTCACCAGTTCCAGACCCACAAGCATGGGCAACGGATTTAAGCATATCATGGGAAGGCCTCAATGCGTGCGCTGTTTCCTCCCCAAGCAATAATACCTCAAGTATTACAGAAAATCAGCCAAACACAGAGCCTACAACTCATTTTGGTCGCTACCCTACTGGTCGGCCAGAACGTGGTTTCCGCTCTAATACAAGAAATCGGGTCAACCGGCACTAGAGCTACCCAAGCGCAAAGCTGTT